CGATGAGTTTGACTGAGCTTCACCATGAAAATAGAACCTTATGATCATGTAGAGTTTGCATTAACTAAATTAAACACAACAGGGATTTGCTTCAAATAATAAGCTTAATTTTGTACTAAAAACAAAGTATTTATTTTATAACTTCTTCATATTCTTTACATAGGATTTCTGCATATTAATAGCTGTATAGGCAATTTATTGTCACTAAACCTTTTACATTGCAATGAACGACTATGATCAACGCTGTTTGTATGATCAACGTCACATTTGTGTAGTTATCCAATAANTATAGTGGTAGAAAATAATATAAAAGTATTTATATTATTTATACTCGTACAATTTCAAAACTATTTTTTGTAATAATTTGATTCTGACTTAACGGATATTTTCATATTATTGACGACAAAAGTTAAAATAATTTATTTCCTTACCTGTCCATTATTTTTGTTTGACGGAGTTGAATTGTTTGGACCACGTGGCATGAAAAATTTTGTCAAGGTCCTGATGAGAATGTGCAGACAACTGAACGTGAAAGAAGACCACTGAGTCAAGATCGTGCAACTATCTATGTTGTGATTGGATAATTTAAATTAGCAAGCAGTGATACTAGTGAGACTTTATTAAACTAATTTTTTCTCATTTTTTCGTTGAGGCGTGAAATATTGTTTTGTACCGTAAATGATACTTGAAATATTATAATGTACTGAAAATGTACTGAAAATCTAAATGTAATTTCAATTTACTGGAAAGGGCAAAATGTACCAGAAAAGTACAAATGTACTAGGAACGGCAACACTGGAGCTGTCTCATATCTAAGTGTTATACTGAATATTTTTATCTACATGAAAAAATGAACATTATCTGTTTCCCATAGAAACTGTTGTCAGAAGATATCTCTTTTGGCAGATTTACACGTGTTGTATTGCCATATCCATGTCCTTTCTGTCTGTTCACCCTTTGTTCATATTGTAAACAGAGTTAGATAGATGAAAATCGAGACTACGTAATGAAAGCTGAAATACAGTTCAGATATGAAGACGGAAAATGGAAGACTGATATGGAAAGTGAAAATTAAGAGTCTCTAAACTTGAGAAAAGGAAATCCTGTGATGTTACTTGAAACAATAGACCATTGAGAACTCCAAATATATCCTGTAAAAAAGGATCATAAAAAATTATAAATTCATAAAAAAATATTTTTTAAGATTAAAAATGGTTCTTTCAGTTTAAATATTTAAAAACAATAAAATAGAAAATTTATAATATAATTTTTAATTTTTTAAAATTATAATTTCTCTGTTTATTTAAAAATTTTTTAATACTTATGTAAGAATCAGGAAGGAATTTATATACTTAATGTGAAAAATCAAGCCTTTTGAAATATAGCGTGATTTTTGAAGTTAAGGGAGTGATGTGAGAACAGAAAAGAATTTACATAATTAAATAGAGTTAATAAATCGATCTAGAAAACAATCCTAATCTGGATCATATTCCAAGACGTTGTCTTTATCTTTTGAAAGGAGAGAAGATAGAAATGCTGTTTTAAATTACAGCAAAATTTTTCTTTTTCTGAATCTTCATTCAATTAGCATGAGAAAGAATGTATGTATCTTCTACGTGTTGTTTTCATTAATGGAAAACCTATCTATCACTTTTGTACCTAAAGGGGAAATCAACTTCCTTTCACAAAGTCTTATCTCTAACTATGGCAGTCATGGCAACCCCTCTGGGTTAGATACACAGATGGTTGTCAAAATTAGTATCTAATCCTGTCAGTGGATGCCATGAAAAATCCATGATTTCTATTAGACGTAACTGAAATTAAAAAAGGCAATTTCTCCTTGATTCTGGGGAGTTCTCAAAAATTTTGACTTGTGTCTAGAAGCAAAATTAGTCCTTAGTGCTGTATCACTGCTCATCAGCATTCTCCATGATCTTTGTCTGCCACAATACTTCTCTACCTGTTTGAGTAAGAAGATGGAAATCAACAGCTACAATCGAGGTAGTATGTCTAACTTGTTGTAAGCTCTCTCTCTCATGCGATTTAGATAAGGGTTTGTATCTCTTTATGTACTGATTATTATTTCTCTTTTATATTTTGTCCCTAATAAATTTTTTTTGTTGATTTAAATGGTCTCATTCTTGAACTCAACTTACAGCCAAAGTCTATTCATGGATCTATGGTCCTTCCTTCTCAGAAACATATTTTATATTAATCCTTAGGGTGCTTAATGCTCTAATTAGGCTGGTGTCAGGAAAAGTCAACAGGGAGATTGTAAGAACTTCCTGTACCCAAATTAAATACTATTAAAAACTTATTCTAGTGACCCTGTGGGCGGATTTTTTCTGATCTGTGATCGAACAAGAGTGAGAAACGACCTTTCTCTCAACTCCAGCTTCCCACACTTATATTTAAGACATTCTTAGTTTCATTTTGATTGTATTGCAAATTTCTTAGTTTTAAAGTCACATTTTCATAGTGGTGTCTGACATACAACAAAGGTTAGGTTGTAGGAAACATAGTCCTTAGTGCTTCAGTTAATGCTTCTTTATTATCGCTGCCATAGGCACAAAAGTTTACTAGTCCTGGCTCATATTGTTTTAAAGTTTGAAAGAAATTATTATACACTTCATTTGTTTTCATAGTACTTCTCATTATTGGTCCTAAAAATATAGAAGAATGCCCTTTCTCTTTAACTCAGTTTAGTGTAAGAATATGTTGTACTAAGCACAAAAATTTTTCTGAGTTTAAAATTGAAAAAAAAACTTTCATTTATAGTCATTAAAAGTTGAATAGAAACCTGTTTACATTTTGTTTTTTCCTCCTCTTACTAAGGAGGAAAATTAAAGGCAGTATTTAAATAACGAGAATATATCAGACTGTTCGTCCAGTTCTCCTTGGACAATCAACCTTACAGGTAAAATTATATAAGTTTTATTTAAATTTTTATATTTAAATAATACATTATTTATCGTAGCACTCGATAATGTCGAATCTAGAATAATTTGCATAAATTAAATTATTATTTTAAAATAATACATAGCTAATTAATTTGTATATTTGAAATTTCTTAAAAGTTATCTATGCTTTATTCAGTACTTTTACACTCGTATAATTCATATAAATATTAAATTGAAATGAAATAATTTTTGTCCTTTATTACTTGCATTCGCAATCCTGGTGAAGGTTATTAAGTAAACAACTTTTACTTACTCATATTCTGTCCTTACGTTTTTAAATAGTTTATTAAATAAAAATAAGAGCAATTGTATTAAAACATGATAATAATAAATAATTTTTAATGGCAAAATTGTTCTTGGTAAATTTATTAAACTTTTCAGTGTCATGTCATACTTCATGAGCATTCCAGATTTACTATACAAGAAATCTCGATTCATACTGTACTGACGAAAATAAAACGTTTATCACATACATAAGATCATTAAATTAGTTTTCTACAGAAACTTTTCCAGGAAAGCTTCCCTTTTGGCAGATATCCCATGTATTGCGTTTTTTTCTTTCAATCCGATATTTCTATATAAAATATTATATAAATATATATGAACTAGCTGTTACCCGCAACTTCGCCCGTGAGGATTTTGCAAGCAAACCCCATTTATATTCAGCATTTCACCGACCGTAATAATTGTAATTTAACACCTACTGCTGAGAATGATGAGAATTGCCAAGAATCAAATGCACTATTTTCAATTCCATCAATTTTCTGGAACGTTTACAATCGTTCTATAATCGAACCGATATGCAATAACAAATTCGAATTTAAAACGGTTCGAACATTTTTAAAATCGAAATAGATAAAAATATTTATAACAATGTCTGAAATGTTATTAATTTAATACACCTAAGTACTCGATAAAGACTAAATCCTCTCCCTCTCCCCTCGAGGGAGAATTTCTAAAAATCCCTTCTTAGTGTGCATTCTCATGGCATACCCTGCTACAACGCAGTTAAAAACAAAAAATCGCGTCTAAAATGTACGGTAGAAGCCGTTTTTCTGGTTAAGCCTTAAACCTCTCTCTCTTCCCCTTGCAGGGAAATTACTAAAAATCCATTCTTAGTGTGTGTTTTCACGACGTACCCTAACTGTGTATCAAATTTCACCTCTTTAGGTTCAGCAGTTTGCTCTGCTGATGATGAATCAGTGAGTCAGTCAGGACAAGCAATTTTATATATTTAGATTTTACAATTAATATGATTCAGAATAACATTATCTTATAAATACTTTAGTCAAGATTAACGTATAAAATATACTTACACGAATAAAAAAATAATGTCAACAAATATGTTATATATATATAAATATCTAATANTATATATTTTTTCTTTTGCCGGCTAAACACCTTCTGTACAGCCGAAGTCTTTCTTGTATGTATATATGTATATTCCAAGTATTGTTACTGCTAAATTACTGACATTAAAAGTCAAAAAGAATTATTAATGTCTATATCTCGAGTGGAAAAAAAATTAGTAAAAAATTTTCATGTTATTAGCATTCACAATTAGTTTAAAGACTCAATCCGACTTTCAACGATAGTGGGTTTTGCTTTATTATGATAATTAATGACTGTTTTAAACAAACACCCAAAATAGATGACACCACAAATGATTTCTTAAATAATTTTCGTTTTATATATGAAGACATTTATGATAATCCATCTAACCTTTTTTAACTTTTTATAAAAGTTTAAATTTTATAACAAAATAATTAAAAATTATCGGATTTCCTTTTCGGTTTTCTTAACTTCCTGTTAATGTAGCAGGAAAGTTGTGCAAGATCCTACCAGTTTATTATTATGTAAATGTGTTAATTAGTTATAAATATTTATATGAATATAATAATTTAAATAATAATAATATATATATTAATTTAACAAATAATAATAATACAGTATGTGTATATATATAGGCTATATATACAAACTACAATGTCGTGATGAATACTAAAATAGCAGGAAAATTTTTGAAAAATATACTGTATAATGAGGATATTCCATACTTATTGGTTAGTTCTTAGACAATTTGCCTTACAGGTAAGAATATTCACTGTTTACTTATATTTTAACACTAGTATAATAGTTTATTTTCTTTATTTGACTCTATGCTTTTAAGTTGTTTTTTCTTATTAAAACACATCAATATTTCATGAAGCCCAATAATATTGATTGTATAATAATTTGCATAGATTAAACTATAATTTTACAATAATATATAAATAATTAACTTTTATATTAAAAAATTAAATAACTCTATACCTAGTGAAAACTGTTAAATATGTGTTTAATTACAAAATCGTTGTTTTTACTGGTTTACCTCGTTTACTAATAAATATTATTTAAGTTTATTAATTTCTAGGCTATATGAATAAAAAAAATAGTGATTTGACGGTGTCCCAACACTCCATTGTATTCCCTTCTGAATTTTTAATAGGGAGAATTGAGAATGGAATCGAAAAAATACCTTTTATCAATGTCCCATATTCAATTTCCCAATCATTCGTAGGGCGGTAATGTTAAAAGATAAAGTTTCTCTAATCCATTCACTAGCAAACATATCAAAATTTAACAAGTTTATATTCTTGTAAATATATAAATTATTTAACAAATTCTTGTATAATTTGTATAGTATACACTCGTGATTAAGTGTACAAATTTATAAAATATTATTGCATTATCCTCTTAATCTGGAAAATTACTGTGAACTTCGATTTACGATTTCTCGCATTCACATCTTATATAACTTTCGGAATATATAATAGTTGATTCAATATTTATATGACTGTGTTCATTAACATATATATAAGGATATGTTTAGTCATTTTCTCCTCTCGCCCACTTTGTTTCGCCTCGTAAATCATATACTCTCTCTATTTAAAAATGACTTCCTTTATTATATCATGGATTGTGTTGGACCCCCGAATCTGTATGCTTGAAGTGTGAAGAAAGAGGTTTTACATATTGGAGCGTGCTAGAAAAAAAACTTGTACTACGACTGAAAATTTGTAGAAAAATACGTTTTTATATTGTTTCTTATACATAAATATGTTTAACGACAACAAAAAACATTTATTACAATAATTTCTAATGGCAAAACTGTTCATAACGTCTAGTAAATTTACTAAACTATTAAGCTTCATATTATACTTCGTAATCGTTATCAGTTATCCTTCTAAATGAGCATGAGCTAAATACATAAATGTCATTTATCTGTAAAAATATAAAGCTAAATGTAATGATTCTTACCTTCATCTACCTTATTATTTATAAAGGAAACAATAAAATACATGCCTTATCAATGAAATTGTGTTTCCTCAAGCAAAACGTCGAGCAGAAAAGTGTCCTACTGATAACAAAGTGAAATTTTTCAGGAAACGATCTCAATATTTTTTAATAGATAAGGACGAAAGTAAAAATAGCAGACGAGTAATTCTTTTTACATAAAGTTGTAGCTTATATAAGTATTTAGTGAGAGAATTTCATTGTACTTAATCTTAATATTTTCTCAAGACACAAATAGCGATTACGTAGATAGAACCATTTTGCATCAGGAACGATGAGTTTGACTGAGCTTCACCATGAAAATATAACCTTATGATCATGTAGAGTTTGCATTAACTAAATTAAACACAACAGGGATTTGCTTCAAATAATAAGCTTAATTTTGTACTAAAAACAAAGTATTTATTTTATAACTTCTTCATATTCTTTACATAGGATTTCTGCATATTAATAGCTGTATAGGCAATTTATTGTCACTAAACCTTTTACATTGCAATGAACGACTATGATCAACGCTGTTTGTATGATCAACGTCACATTTGTGTAGTTATCCAATAAAAAATTAGAACAGATAGGTTTTATATATAAATATTTCATATGCACAGATTAAACCATAAATAATTGTGTTTAATTAGAAATATTACTTTTTCAGAATACAATGGAGACAGTCGAAAATTCTGCACGAAGAGGCGAATATAAAGCACTTTATATAGAAGAATATTTATACCACTATGTAGACAATAAGTGGACTCAGAGTTTTTTACCTTACACTGTTCCTATATCGCTTGCATACGTAATAATTATCTTTTCTTTGCAAAATTATATGAAGTCCCGGCCTCCGTTTCAGCTTCGTTGGCCTCTTGTCATCTGGAATATACTACTGGCGGCATTCAGTATTTGTGGCACCTTAAGATTGCTTCCAGGATTGTGGATTTCACTCCGAGAGTACGGATTTACGTTCTCCGTGTGCAATCTTAGCTTTGCATTAAAATATCACCCGCTTGCATTCTGGTTATCGTTATTTACATGGTCAAAAGTTATTGAATTCGGTGATACATTATTTATTATCCTTCGTAAACGGAAGCTAACGTTTCTGCATTGGTATCATCACTGTTTAACTCTGATTATTACGTGGTATGTCAATTCCACCGAAGCGTCTACTGTGTATTGGTTCGCTACAACGAACATGTTTGTACACAGCTTCATGTATACTTATTACGCTGTGACGGCGATGAAGGTCAAAGTACCTGTGTTTATTGCAATGACCATTACTACAATGCAAATTGCCCAAATGTTTATGGGTTGTTTTGTTAATTTGTTAGCGGCATACGTGTATTATAGCGGAAAATATTGCGAGCAGACCATTATGAGTCTGTTTTTGTTGATTTTTTTATATGCTTCACTTGGTTGGTTGTTTTGTCGCTTTTTTCGAGATTCATATTACAAGAGAACAAATCGTAGTAATTTACTGTATGAAAAATATCAGTAAGAGAAGCGTTAGGAGGGGAAACGTTTTGACTACAATAATTGATTATCATTTTGTTTGCATATTACTTCATATTATGGTAAATAATATTATATTGTTAAATATTTTGTTGTAATTAACGAAATACGTGGTAAATTTGTATATCTTATGAATTAAAATATAATAAGATAACATAAATATAAGGCGTATTATTTGTTGTTTGATATAATTACTTTTTCAGGTTTTGGTTTTTATTGATAGATTTACGTTGTACTTAATGTTATAAATAGAAATTCAATAAAAATAACTTTCTTTAATACAAGGTATTGTTACAATTAGTTTATCAAATAAAACTGTTGGAAAAGAGCTTATTAATTAACGTTTAGCATATTTTTAAATTTATTAAATAATAAGGTTACGTCTATATTCTACACAGAATTTTTCATTTAATATTACATCTAATATATGTAATATTTAATAAAATTCAAATTCTTACTGAAGTTTCTGTAACTTAAAGTGTGCAGACTTCCCGAACATTCCATATATTAATAGGTATACATCTTTTCTAATACAATTGCTACTATTTTAAATAAGTATCATATTTATGTCCTAAATTTACATTAAAAAAACAAAGTCAAATTTTAAATGGAAATTTGAATACATTTCTTACAGTCTCACAATTACTTTATTAAGTAATCAGTAAAAAATTTATTAACTGACGAGCAATTATTTATTTTGACATAGTCACATTGCCAAGCAGGAATTTTTAATGATATTCTTAATTTATTTAATTAAAAATATATGGTTTCCACTTCAATTTAGTAGTGTCTTGCCCCTGTAAATCGTACTTTTTTTAACAATAAAGTCATGCCGATCATGTACCTAACACTTTTCAGAGAAGAATTATTGAATAGGAATAATATAACGTCCGGTTTAAACCGAAGTTTCTTATATAGTTATTCGGGCCTTTTGTCCCTAAGCTTTCCAAACACGATCTCGCTTTTTATTACTCTAACTCCGTTCTCGAGATTCAGGCAAGACAGCCAGACAAACGACAGTAGAAATCCTATGTTATTCATAATAATATTATTAAATGTAAAATTGTATTTTATAATTGTTTTTAAATTAAAATATCGTTATCAAAGGATATGTCATCGCGACACCCAGGACGTTCGGCAAAAGGATTTGAAATTTTTGGACTTAGGACACCTTAATACCTCAAAGAGTTCAAAAATTTCTGTATGTATGGATATTAGTGTGTGTTCGGGGGGCACCATTCTGTTCACCCTGTTAGAAGATTAATAACTCTTGTGCTTTTTATCGAAAATTTTTAAAATTTTGCAGAGAGATTTGTCTATTAGGGGGTTGATGCTATTAAATTTTCGTAGTTAAAGGTCAAGGGAATAAAGTGATAATGGGGGTCGTTCGTATCTTCAGTAGGGTAGGACTTATTGACGATTTTATTCGTTATTATCATTAATAATTTTCTTTTTAAAACTTATTTCTACTTTAAAAATTAAGCTTTTTGCCTTTATCTAATTGTTTAGACAAAAAAANAGCACTGTAATCATTAATAATTGTCTGTTACTTCTGGATTATCCTGTAATTTTCTAAAGTATTGTAATTAATTATTTTTCATTTTCAGAATATTATGGAGAAAGTCGAATATTCCACACGAAGAGGAGAATATAAATCGCTTTATATAGAAGAATATTTACATCAATACATAGACAATAAATGGACTCAGAGTCTTTTACCTTACGCCGTTCCTATGTCACTGGCATACATAATAATTATCTTTTCTTTGAAAAATTATATGAAGTCCCGGCCTCCGTTTCAGCTTCGTAGGCCACTCGTCTTCTGGAATATATTATTGGCGGCATTCAGTATTTGTGGCACTTTAAGATTGCTTCCAGGGTTGTTGATTTCAATTCGAGAGTTCGGATTTATGTTCTCCGTGTGCAACCTCAGCTTTGCATTAAAACATCACCCGCTTCCATTCTGGATGTCTTTATTTGCATGGTCAAAACTCATTGAATTCGGAGATACATTATTTATTGTTCTTCGTAAGCAGAAACTGATATTTTTACATTGGTATCATCATGCTTTAACTCTGATTTTTGTATGGTATTGCAATTCCAATGAAGCGTCCACTACATATTGGTGTATGACGATGAACATGTTTGTACACAGCTTCATGTATACTTATTACGCTATGAAGGCGATGAAGATTAATGTGCCTGTGTATATTGCCATGACAATTACTATAATGCAAATTGCACAGATGTTTATGGCTTTTTTTCTTTCTTTATTGGCCACTTATACGTATTATAGTGGAAAATACTGCGAACAGACCGACATGACTCTGTTGATTTCAAATTGTTTGCTCATGTCTTACGTATGGTTGTTTTGTCGCTTTTTTCAATATTGATTGTATAATAATTTGAAGCCCAATAATATTCATGAAGCCCAATAATATTGATTGTATAATAATTTGCATAGATTAAACTATAATTTTACAATAATATATAAATAATTAACTTTTATATTAAAAAATTAAATAACTCTATACCTAGTGAAAACTGTTAAATATGTGTTTAATTACAAAATCGTTGTTTTTACTGGTTTACCTCGTTTACTAATAAATATTATTTAAGTTTATTAAGTTCTAGGCTACATGAATAAAAAAAATAGTGATTTGACGGTGTCCCAACACTCCATTGTATTCCCTTCTGAATTTTTAATAGGGAGAATTGAGAATGGAATCGAAAAAATACCTTTTATCAATGTCCCATATTCAATTTCCCAATCATTCGTAGGGCGGTAATGTTAAAAGATAAAGTTTCTCTAATCCATTCACTAGCAAACATATCAAAATTTAACAAGTTTATATTCTTGTAAATATATAAATTATTTAACAAATTCTTGTATAATTTGTATAGTATACACTCGTGATTAAGTGTACAAATTTATAAAATATTATTGCATTATCCTCTTAATCTGGAAAATTACTGTGAACTTCGATTTACGATTTCTCGCATTCACATCTTATATAACTTTCGGAATATATAATAGTTGATTCAATATTTATATGACTGTGTTCATTAACATATATATAAGGATATGTTTAGTCATTTTCTCCTCTCGCCCACTTTGTTTCGCCTCGTAAATCATATACTCTCTCTATTTAAAAATGACTTCCTTTATTATATCATGGATTGTGTTGGACCCCCGAATCTGTATGCTTGAAGTGTGAAGAAAGAGGTTTTACATATTGGAGCGTGCTAGAAAAAAAACTTGTACTACGACTGAAAATTTGTAGAAAAATACGTTTTTATATTGTTTCTTATACATAAATATGTTTAACGACAACAAAAAACATTTATTACAATAATTTCTAATGGCAAAACTGTTCATAACGTCTAGTAAATTTACTAAACTATTAAGCTTCATATTATACTTCGTAATCGTTATCAGTTATCCTTCTAAATGAGCATGAGCTAAATACATAAATGTCATTTATCTGTAAAAATATAAAGCTAAATGTAATGATTCTTACCTTCATCTACCTTATTATTTATAAAGGAAACAATAAAATACATGCCTTATCAATGAAATTGTGTTTCCTCAAGCAAAACGTCGAGCAGAAAAGTGTCCTACTGATAACAAAGTGAAATTTTTCAGGAAACGATCTCAATATTTTTTAATAGATAAGGACGAAAGTAAAAATAGCAGACGAGTAATTCTTTTTACATAAAGTTGTAGCTTATATAAGTATTTAGTGAGAGAATTTCATTGTACTTAATCTTAATATTTTCTCAAGACACAAATAGCGATTACGTAGATAGAACCATTTTGCATCAGGAACGATGAGTTTGACTGAGCTTCACCATGAAAATATAACCTTATGATCATGTAGAGTTTGCATTAACTAAATTAAACACAACAGGGATTTGCTTCAAATAATAAGCTTAATTTTGTACTAAAAACAAAGTATTTATTTTATAACTTCTTCATATTCTTTACATAGGATTTCTGCATATTAATAGCTGTATAGGCAATTTATTGTCACTAAACCTTTTACATTGCAATGAACGACTATGATCAACGCTGTTTGTATGATCAACGTCACATTTGTGTAGTTATCCAATAAAAAATTAGAACAGATAGGTTTTATATATAAATATTTCATATGCACAGATTAAACCATAAATAATTGTGTTTAATTAGAAATATTACTTTTTCAGAATACAATGGAGACAGTCGAAAATTCTGCACGAAGAGGCGAATATAAAGCACTTTATATAGAAGAATATTTATACCACTATGTAGACAATAAGTGGACTCAGAGTTTTTTACCTTACACTGTTCCTATATCGCTTGCATACGTAATAATTATCTTTTCTTTGCAAAATTATATGAAGTCCCGGCCTCCGTTTCAGCTTCGTTGGCCTCTTGTCATCTGGAATATACTACTGGCGGCATTCAGTATTTGTGGCACCTTAAGATTGCTTCCAGGATTGTGGATTTCACTCCGAGAGTACGGATTTACGTTCTCCGTGTGCAATCTTAGCTTTGCATTAAAATATCACCCGCTTGCATTCTGGTTATCGTTATTTACATGGTCAAAAGTTATTGAATTCGGTGATACATTATTTATTATCCTTCGTAAACGGAAGCTAATGTTTCTGCATTGGTATCATCACTGTTTAACTCTGATTATTACGTGGTATGTCAATTCCACCGAAGCGTCTACTGTGTATTGGTTCGCTACAACGAACATGTTTGTACACAGCTTCATGTATACTTATTACGCTGTGACGGCGATGAAGGTCAAAGTACCTGTGTTTATTGCAATGACCATTACTACAATGCAAATTGCCCAAATGTTTATGGGTTGTTTTGTTAATTTGTTAGCGGCATACGTGTATTATAGCGGAAAATATTGCGAGCAGACCATTATGAGTCTGTTTTTGTTGATTTTTTTATATGCTTCACTTGGTTGGTTGTTTTGTCGCTTTTTTCGAGATTCATATTACAAGAGAACAAATCGTAGTAATTTACTGTATGAAAAATATCAGTAAGAGAAGCGTTAGGAGGGGAAACGTTTTGACTACAATAATTGATTATCATTTTGTTTGCATATTACTTCATATTATGGTAAATAATATTATATTGTTAAATATTTTGTTGTAATTAACGAAATACGTGGTAAATTTGTATATCTTATGAATTAAAATATAATAAGATAACATAAATATAAGGCGTATTATTTGTTGTTTGATATAATTACTTTTTCAGGTTTTGGTTTTTATTGATAGATTTACGTTGTACTTAATGTTATAAATAGAAATTCAATAAAAATAACTTTCTTTAATACAAGGTATTGTTACAATTAGTTTATCAAATAAAACTGTTGGAAAAGAGCTTATTAATTAACGTTTAGCATATTTTTAAATTTAATAAATAATAAGGTTACGTCTATATTCTACACAGAATTTTTCATTTAATATTACATCTAATATATGTAATATTTAATAAAATTCAAATTCTTACTGAAGTTTCTGTAACTTAAAGTGTGCAGACTTCCCGAACATTCCATATATTAATAGGTATACATCTTTTCTAATACAATTGCTACTATTTTAAATAAGTATCATATTTATGTCCTAAATTTACATTAAAAAAAACAAAGTCAAATTTTAAATGGAAATTTGAATACATTTCTTACAGTCTCACAATTACTTTATTAAGTAATCAGTAAAAAATTTATTAACTGACGAGCAATTATTTATTTTGACATAGTCACATTGCCAAGCAGGAATTTTTAATGATATTCTTAATTTATTTAATTAAAAATATATGGTTTCCACTTCAATTTAGTAGTGTCTTGCCCCTGTAAATCGTACTTTTTTTAACAATAAAGTCATGCCGATCATGTACCTAACACTTTTCAGAGAAGAATTATTGAATAGGAATAATATAACGTCCGGTTTAAACCGAAGTTTCTTATATAGTTATTCGGGCCTTTTGTCCCTAAGCTTTCCAAACACGATCTCGCTTTTTATTACTCTAACTCCGTTCTCGAGATTCAGGCAAGACAGCCAGACAAACGACAGTAGAAATCCTATGTTATTCATAATAATATTATTAAATGTAAAATTGTATTTTATAATTGTTTTTAAATTAAAATATCGTTATCAAAGGATATGTCATCGCGACACCCAGGACGTTCGGCAAAAGGATTTGAAATTTTTGGACTTAGGACACCTTAATACCTCAAAGAGTTCAAAAATTTCTGTATGTATGGATATTAGTGTGTGTTCGGGGGGCACCATTCTGTTCACCCTGTTAGAAGATTAATAACTCTTGTGCTTTTTATCGAAAATTTTTAAAATTTTGCAGAGAGATTTGTCTATTAGGGGGTTGATGCTATTAAATTTTCGTAGTTAAAGGTCAAGGGAATAAAGTGATAATGGGGGTCGTTCGTATCTTCAGTAGGGTAGGACTTATTGACGATTTTATTCGTTATTATCATTAATATTCTTTTTAAAACTTATTTCTACTTTAAAAATTAAGCTTTTTGCCTTTATCTAATTGTTTAGATAAAAAAAATTAATAAAATATCATAACAGATGGCTTTTCACAAGTATTAAATGTAGCCGGGAAAGTTTAGCAACTCGTTGCTTGATTATTTTTTTACTACTTATTTTAAATAAATTATATAATTTTAATAACTCCTGTGCTTTTTGATGAAAATTTCTATAAATGTTTGCAGAATGGTTTGCTTACGAGGGGGGTTAATACTAAATTTCGGTAATTAAACATCGAGGGATTGGGAAGATAATAAGGATGTGTGTATCTCCAGTAGGGTCAGAAATAATAGACTTATTAAATAATCTAGACTTAATAAAGATTTTACTTGTTATTGGCATTTAAAAAATTTTTTATAAAACACATCCCTACCCTCAAAATTAAGATTTTCGCTATTTTATAATAGTTAATAATATAAAAATTTTTAAATGAAATAAGATAAAAAATGGCACTACAAAAATTTTAAATTTCTCCCGAAAGTTGAGCAACTCGTTGCTGGTTTATATTATTTAGAGGAACCATCACTTAATATACTTATTATCATTTATATTATACACTATTTATCTCATTACTTTTATTTATAATCTGTGAAAATTATTGCATTTTCTACTTAATTGTACAATAATTTCTATAATTATATAGTTTTTTTAATTCTGGTGTATTTCTAATAACTAAAAATTTTATTAAATCTTATAGGGTCTACAAACTAAGATCTAAATATTGTATGCTTATGTTCAACTGTACAAATATCTTTTTTCTGATTGCGTGTATGAATAAGTTTACCACTACTTCCTTATATCATTATAACATACATTTGGCAACATTATAATTAACTCT